TCGAACTAATTAACTACAACATACAACCTAGCGTGTAACACGCAGCCCCGGCGTGTTTGATCATGTTTGATTTGGAAGACTAACAACCCACTCTCAGCAGGTAAAAAGCAAGCAAATGTGTGACTTGGTTAACCATCATCCTACCAAGAAGTGTTTTGAAACACAAGTGTACGTATTCACGCGGCGTTCTCTGGTAGGTTTATACTCAACCTAGCAGAATGTATAAAACACAGGACTCAGCAGGTACTTCATTGACTTTATAATGCTTGGCTACTATTAAGCAAGGTTCCCGAACAATATACGAAGCAGTCTGAATGAACAATCAGAACAGTAATTGAAAAGTAACACTTGATGCAAAAATTAAACAAGCCGGGTGGTACATGGTCCTAAATGGCCTGGTATTGGTGAAGTATGATAACCACTGTAACAGGAATAATGGCAATCTACAAGATGTGATAACAACAGTGTGAGAGGTAATATTAAAACCACACTTGACATTTTGACTTTGTCGCTATTGACTGCTAATTTGACAGACACGCATGAATCATTGTACAGTGCTGCGGAGACTGAAGGTTTTGACAAGTATACTGACACTATATGACACTGCTTTAGGCTTATTCCATACATGGCTGTATGAACCAATGAACACAGCAATTCATGTGAGAGACTGCAACACCCACCACAGCAATGACATTGTTGCGTGTGTAAAAAACCATAACGACAGCCAATTAAACATAGCCACTATCCACCTTGATCCGAAATCTGCGTTCATGGCCTTGGGGATGCTACAGTATCACTTCTATTTTCTATGCCGTGCAAAGTTCTTTCTCTTACTGGGTTTCAGTAGGCCTGCTTCGCCATACCCTGCAGTTTGTCACACTCGCTCACTACTAGTACTATATTTCGGCTTATCGCGAGCATGCGGGTGCACTTGCAGCCTTTTCTGTCCGACTTCCTTCGTGCTATCAGCACAAAGACGAAAACCTGGGTACCTGAGGGGGGGGGGGGGGGGTGGTGGTTAGCAGATATATATATATATATATATATACATATATACATATATATATATATAGATATGAAATGATATATGGTTAATCACCTACTATTTAGGTAGCTGGTGCCCTAGGGGGTGGACCCCTTTCCGGGAAAGGCGTCCACCCATCCCCATGGGGGGATTGTTGAGCCTTTGGAAAGACACAGTAACTTCGAATGTACCGCGCCTGCCACATGAAGCCAGCTTCGTGTTGTATTTGTTGATGCCATTTTTTTCGGTTTACAGTTGGGAACTGCTTAAGACTCGGGTTTGGGCAATGCTAGTCGTTGTTTCGGCCTTTTGAGGCTTCGATGCGGCAAGTCGCAGAGTGAAAGCATCACTACCAGACATACACACAAAACGCAACGCCTGTCACAGGAAACAATGCTAACATGGGACTGACGAGGTGCTGAAACAAGTCGTCGTTTGACATCACATGATGTGAAGTCAAGGAATTCGACAGGGAATGAGACAGGCAAGATGAGCATTATTCATCTGAGCAAGTTCATCCGATGCGATGAACTGCGATAGGCACATCTGACGAAGTTGATCCGATGCAGATTTGTCAACGATTCTGCAAAAGTCGTTGTCAAGCAAGAGGAAGCTGTCATTTTTTTTACCTGGATTCGAATACATTCCATCGAGCTGGGACCTGGACGTTATCATGGTTGGCACATGGATGCTCTGCCGGAATGGATATGGTCGGACGTTATCATCGACGTTATCATGGTTGGTACAATTGTAGGCGCAGTTATCCCCCCATGTGCGAAAACAGGGAATCCACGCAGGACGGGGTGAATAGACACCAAAGCCTTAGCTGGCAGCTTTGGCGGGAAAGTGTCTGCTCCACTCTCTCGGTCTTTGAATGAGGGTCTCTGTTGAGGGTGGCGGGTAGCGGGCTGCAACCTTTGTGGGCCCAAACCTTATGGAGCCAAGGCTGAAGTGTGTATAGGAGAAGGCAAGCGGAAAAAAGTACAAAAACAAAAACGAATAAAAATACCGAAAAAAACACACGTCCTCAGAAGCTTCACGGCGGCGCTTTCGGGCTCGCATTCGTTTCCACTCTTGGCTTCTGTTCTTGCAAAAATGAGTGTCATCAAGCGTGAAGAACAAATACAAGCAACACCCAACCATACTCAAAACTCAGAATAGCAATGGCAACTGTATCAACAGCATCAACAGTCACAACAAGAACAGCCACTAGCCAATTGCAATCACAGCAGTAATCAGAATGTCGGCGTATTCCTAAGGCGGAGTTTGTGTTGGTGCTGGTGATTCCTCAAACCTTCAAGCTATGTCTCCGTCGTCTGGCAGGTTATATCAGGTTTGGGTTCGGCTGGCCCATGTAAGCCCCATAAACTGTGGCTTTTGAATGTAAACTAGTATGTCGGTTGCCTTGTCCGCAATTAGGGTTGCAGGAAAAGCAATTAATCCATTCAGCTGGAGCTCGAAAATGTAGGGTACAGGGTGTATCTTAATGAATCCTTAGCCCCTGAATCTTGAACGCTCATCCCGAAGGCTTAACTTCAAATATACTGCTTACCCAGACATCGTCGCTGCTGACAATGACGGCAACAGTTTCGCTTTCTGTTTCAGGTGTTGCTTTTTGGACGTGTACGTACGCGCGGGAGGTGTTAGCATGAGGGGAAGGAAGATGATACAGGCAGCTCCAGTAGGCCACAGTCCTCAAGTGTCACCCGCTGGCGACAAGCCCCATTAAAGTCAGAGCAAAAAGCTCAAGCCTGAACAGGATGGAGTGATCCACATGGGTGCCGTCAGGTACAACAGGGAGGCTAAGGCCGGCGGTAGCGAAAGCATCTGAGTTCATGGAACTTTGCTCAGGGTTTAGGGTTTAGTGTTCGGGATTTAGGGGTTTAGAGTTTCGGGTCAGGGATCCATAAGTGGCTGTCCTCGTCATCCTAAAGAGCTTAGAGTTCCAGGGTTTGGGGTTCTACCCATAGGGGCCATAGTGCATACTAATCCTATATAGGTAATCCCAAGAAGGAACTACTACGGGGCCTATGGGTAGGATTCAGGGTTCCCTGCGGCTTCACCCCTTCGCCCCCTTCCACGTCCCCCCCAGCCCCTCAAGCTGAAACGCCCTGCAAGCGCACCGGATGTAGGGTTTCGGAGTTTTGGATAAAGGGGTTCTCGTACGGTTAAGGGTTAAGGGTTTCGGTTCAAGTTGTAGCTCTGTAATGGGGGGCTCTTGCTGTAACCGGGCTGCTGGACAACGAGGCCTGCTGCAAAAAAAAGCTCTGTAATGGGTCTGGGGTTGCAATAGTTGTTTTATGATCCCAATACAGTCCCACAGGTTACCTTCAGTTCCCTAGGATACTGGACAAATAGGTAATTAACGATACAAACCCTAAGCCCAAGCCCTAAAACCCTACACCCTCAACCCTATAAACCCGAGTTCTATCAACCTCTTGCCGACGCTCCAACCTCTAAACCCAAATTAACAAAGCCCCAAAAGTAGGTAAACAAGCAGCCGGACACCGAACACAGTTCAATATTCTACATACCGTTGCTGGTCCAGGTAGTAGTACCGACGCAGTCGCAATGGAACGAATCATGACACAGGCCGTGAAACAAAAGCTGAAGATGACGTTAAGTTGTGAACACATGCATCCGTCAATGCTGAGATGAGAAGAAGGGTCGACGAAGTATTTTGTTGTGTTTCCATGCAAACTCAACATGAGTGGGCTTGCTCGGGATTGCTCGTAAAGGTCCGATGCACTTGTAGGAAAATGCCCGAGCCCGTTGCAGGATTACACCACGCAGCAGTTCCTGGTGAAGAATGAGAGTCCGTTCGAGTTGGTCTTCAAGCTGGAGCGGCTAGGCCGTTTAGGCTTTGAGTTTCTGGTGTTTGATTTAGGCTGATTGATTGGTTTCGGGTTTGGGGTTTAGGATTTGGTGTTCAGGGTTTTGGTTTTAGGATTTCGGATGTTGGTCTTCAGTGTTTTAGGTGTCGGCAACGGAACATAGGCTCCCCTCTCTCTTGGGGTCCAAGATTCATCACGGTAATATAGAAGCCGAAATACGTATCAATGTTTTTGTTCATTGGAGTTCCTTATCAGTATACTATAACGGAGCTGTAAACTATGACCAAACCCCATTCTAGTTCAATTCTTGGGGCCCGTACAGTATAGGGATTTAGGATCTAGGGCCTGCGGTGCCCTTCGGGTGGGTTGCTCAGGGGTCGCTGAAGCTCAACACCTAGTCCTACTCCTACTGCTAGCACTTACCTTATGACTAACTACTACCTACGACCAACTACGACCTAGTAGGAGCTACTACTATCTACTCTCGCTGGGCCTTTCGTGCATTTTATATTTTGTGTGGGTTTGGTGGTTTCAGGATAGTAGGGATAATGGTTTTATCTGGGTGGGGTGGCATTGGGATATTAGGCTTAGCTAGGTTAACAACATGCAGGCCTTTCCAGCTCAAAACAAACCATGTAAGCCCGAGACCCTAAGCCCTAAACCTAACCACTATAACCATAAATAATCAGAATTATCAGAATCAGGGCACCAAGCTCAACTTTAAAGCCCGAGATAAAGCCTAACTGAGAAGCCCGGCCCCAAACTTCAATATTATATAAGCCCGAGACTCTAAGCCCTAAACTGCTAAACACTAACCTCATTTGTCGTATAATTGTAAGTTAACATATAGAACCTTAAGTCCGAAACCTTGTCCTTAACCTCAACCCTAACTGCAGAGCACAAAGTGTGTATCGGACAATCTTGCAGTGATCGTATGAGCCCTTGTGATAATCGTCATTGATTCTGTATCGCTCCACATGTGGGACTCCCCAGCTTTGCGCAGGTCAGACGTGTACAACCAACTCGACCCGCAGGCACAGTGGATCATCAGGAAAAGGCGGGGCCCTCTGTACATGTTGCCTGCCTACTTCTAGTTTGTAACTGGTAGCGGAGCCTGTGTGCTCCAGTAGGACCTAGTTGAAATGTCGGGCGACTCTTCGGGCCCACCACCTGGCTTCGGGCCGGACGATGCGGGCTCACAAGAGCCACCAGCGGCGCCTCCTCCACCGAGTTTCGGGGCAGGCGACCGACAGTCTTCGAGCGGTGACCGCCCAGCTGGCGGCCTTTCCAGTGATCCTGTACAAGACAGGCGAGTTCTTCAAGGAGCCCCTGATGTGCCGGGGCAAGCAGAGCAGGATGGACCTGCACGCCGTGAGTGAGAAGCACAGGACGAAAGTGAGCAAACCTATGACCCCTCACGTCATGGATGGAACTCCGGAGCAAACTACGAGCAGCCGTATGACTCCACTCACCATGAGTGGAATGCGGGAGCGGCTGCAGATCGAGTGTGGGGCGATGGGCGAGCTCACCGTGGCGATTGGAGCGATCGCGTGGATGCCTCAGCTGGCTACGGCAGACGCAGCAGCTGGGAGACGACGACTGTGAACGCTTCTGGCGATGGCTGGACCAGAAGACTACGTGAAGAGGACCCATGGGTGAGTGGGGGTGATCCATGGCAGCGCGAAGCTAGGAAGTTCTGGGGTCACGGAGGGCGAGACGGCCACGAGCGAAGGGATCGAGGGCGTGATTCTGGAGGCTTTCGAGGCGGTCCCTGGGCAGATGGTCGAGACCTAGGACCGGGCGGCGATGATTCTGCGCACCATCGAGGGTTGTTCTGGGGATCAGCTATATCAAGGGCGTGATTCGGGAGGCTTTCTAGGTGGTCCCTGGGCAGATGGTCGAGACCGCTTCCAAGGTTTACGCGATTCCGGATACCATGGTCGTCTCTGGCCCTGGATCAGAACCAGGCTCCTGGCAGGATGGCCGCAGCTATGATGCGCACACGGACTGGGGTGCACAAGGCGGACATGGTGGCTGGCGAGACTCCGATGATGGCTACAAGGGGTCACGACCGACTGAGAAGATGACAGTCCCCACCTTCTCGGCAGAGGACAATGACGACCTCGGCAACTCGGCGCGCTCTTACCTGAGGCAGATAGAGGTCTGGAAGCGCATCACCCGGGTCCCGGTGAACCAGCTCGGCTTGGTCCTCTACCAGCACCTCAGTGGCAAGGCATGGATCGCTGCAGAGGAGCTTTCGGTTTCAAAGTTGAGTACTTCGGAAGGGCTCGGGTACTTTACGTCTTGGGTGTCAGCGAGATTCCTGGACTTGGAAGTTGCTCGAATAGGGCGTGCCTTTTCCGACTTCTTCAGAAAACTCCGTCGCAAACCCTCGCAAACCATCAGGGAGTACAACACCGAGTACGACAGACTGCATGGAAGGTTGCGAGAGGTCGGCTGCTCTCTTCCTGAGGAGTGTGCGGCGTGGTTATACCTGGACCGCTTGCAGCTTGAAGAGTCTCAGGAGTTGAACCTTTTAGCGAGCGTTGGAAACAGGTACAGTCTTCATCACCTACAGCATGCTGCAGTACTTCATGACCGAGGTCAGCGCAAGCCCTGGGAAGGAGCGACCGGGAAGGGGCGAAGGACAAACTACGCCCACATGACAAACCACGACTCCAGTGATGAAGATGAGGACGGCGAGAACTACGAGGACGGAATCCCGGAGGAAGTCGCGGAAGCGCTGATGACCTACCAGTCGGCAAAGGAGAAGTACCGTGCACAACAGCGCTCCCGAGGCACCGTCGACGGCAACAAGAATGGGAAGGACGAGACCAGCGGGGGCGACAGTCGCCCCAACGCCGGGGACCGGGACTCCAAGCTCAAGGCTATGAAAGCCCGCTCGTTCTGCGGAGGCTGTGGCAGGAAAGGGCATTGGCACAAGGACGACGCCTGTCCCCTTAACCGGAATGGAGGCGCCAAAGCCGACGTCCCAAAGAACGTGGCCATGACGAATGCGATGCCCGCCGACGTCTACGCGCTGAAGCACGTATCCGACAACCTCATGGGCGTGGCCGATACCGCGTGTGCCCGCACGGTGGCGGGGACGCAGTGGCTCCAGTCCTACACCAACATCCTCGCCGAGATTGGGGAGAAGCCGCTGCTGAAGAAGGAATGCGAGGCCGGGAGAGTTCACTACTCTTCCTTCTATGTCATCGTGGGCTTCAAGCTTGGTGGCTACAACATCCACGTGAGGACTTCGATCATCACCGGGGACATCCCGTTGCTCCTCAGCAAGACGGTGCTTGGGAAGCTGGGCATGATTTATGATGTTCAGCAGGGCAAGGCCGATTTCCGGGCCATAGGACTTCGTGACTACGAGCTTGCTTCTACGGCTTCCGGCCATCCGGCCATTCTGATTTGCCCGATTTGCCCGGTCGGTTTGTCTGCAGGCGAAACGCCGGATCTACAGGTTGAAGACTTGCGACTGCAGCAGATTGGGCAATACATGGAGGTTTATGCTGTAGCTCATTGTGGTCCCCAGCCCCCAAAGTACTCCGGCATGTTCTATGAGAAGAAACTTGACCCTGGAACCCGTGACATGTTGAGTGGTGATCGCTTGTCCCTTGCAGTGTTCCAATCATGGTGGGAGAAGTCGTGTATTGATCGAGACTTTTGGGTTGAGACACCGTCCACCTGGGTGAGAGTGCACATGGTACCACGAAGGGCCACTTTTAATCCTTCTACTTGGCGTACGGGTTCTACTGTGCTCAGGGACATGTTGGTTGCAAACATTGGTGCCACCCGCATGACTGAGAGTGTGTGCTGTGGAAGTGGATAGAGTCGACCGTAGATCAGTGGATGTCAGGCCAAGCTGATCAACATGTGTTCCCGCTGCTCTGGGTCGGCAGAACTGTGTTCGACAAGTTGCCATCCCCTGGCCCTCCTCACTGCGACCCTCGCGGCTCCAATGGAAGCTCAGCCATGCTCCGAGAAGAGCGTGCCGTTGAGCCAGATGACGAAAGCCCAGTTGATCTCAGAGGCGCTCAGAGTGGGCGCCACGGTGCACCACACATGGTCCGTCCAAGAACTCAGAGCCACGATCAGGGAGCACATCGACACCTACACGGAGAAGACGGCGAGCCAGCGGATGCGAGGACTGAGCTCGATGACGATGCCCGAGCTGACCAAGAAGGCGACCGAGATGGGAGTGCATGTGCCCGAGAAGATTACGAAGGGAGCGCTGCTGAAGCTGATCCGCGACATGGTCAGCAGCCCCGGGGACACCATCATGACGATCGGACGGTGGAAAGGGAGTCTGTACACGGAGATTCCGGACTCCTACGGCAGCTGGGCGGCGGCAGAAGTGGCGAGGTCTTCGAACAGCCGGAGCTCGTGATGTATGCGAGGTGGTGGAGCGAGCAGCAGAAGAACAAAGCGGGCCGCGCGAAGATCCCGGTGGAGGACGAGGACTACGAGGGCACGATCAGTTCCCGCAGGAGTCCGACCCCGACGAAAACTTCGTGGGAGGAGATCTCAGTCACCCCCTCCAAGGGGTACCGCCAACCAAGTGGGAAGGGGAACACGAAGACGACCCCAAAGCGGATGAGTCCCGAGCTGCAGGAGAAGACGGAAGGGAAGATGGACTCGCAGGCGGACGCAGCTGTGTTGCAGGAGATCGCCGACCTGGAGACGAAGTTGGCGATCCTGAAGGACAAGGCCCGGGGATCAAGCGAGTGATTGGCGACGGCGAAGGAGATGGACATCAAGGAGGGCATTCGCGTCTCCTAAGGCATCAAGTTCAGTGCTGTGGGATTGTTTGTGATAGTGAATTTATATCTGAGTCTGAGTATGTGAGGGGGATCAAATACGATTGCGTAACCTACGGCTTGTTCACCCATGGTGGAGTGCACGGGTTGACGAGAGCTACTAAAGACGACGATGCCTTGGTGAGGTTCCTCAACCACTTCGGCCGAGAACACCTTGGAGATGAAACTAAGTGGACATCTATTTCGGTGACCAAGAACGTGGCCATCGGGATTCACAAGGACTCCAACAACCTCCGTGGCTCCCTCAACTACTGCACGACGGTCGGGCAACAAAGTGGAGGTGATCTGTGGCTGGAGGCCGACATCGACGAGGCCCAAGCCCGAGGAGGAGATGTTGTGTGGAAAAGAGACAAAGGTGGATGGCTGCCAGGCCGCTACCACCGCACCAAAGAGACCTTCTTTGCCTTCGACCCCTTCAAGAAGCACTGCTCGACTACGTGGGAGGGGACACGATGGTGTATAACTTATCACACCGTGAGGGGGATCACCGAGGTTGGCAGCGAGATCAAGAAGTTCCTCCGCGCCACCGGTTTTCCAGTTGCTCACCACAAGAACTACAAGAAGGAATCCGTAAGCAAACCCCCGCCCAAGAAGAGCGTCAGGAACAACATCATGAACTCTGCCGGGAAGTTGAGTGTTCTCATGGCAACATTGTTGGCCGCTACGGGGACCTACCTCAACGAGATGATTGGACCCCCTGCCGACTACGACCCCATCGTGATGATGGAGCTCGGCGGGTATGAGGGCACGAGCGAGGCGGTGGAGCTTGGGAATGAAGGCCGTGATCGAGCCATTGATGTGGGCCGATTTGCTCGACCCCAAGACGCAGGAGAACGCCTACTACTTTGTCACCGGAGCGAGTCCCCGGGAACTACGGATCCACCTCGACGAGATGCCGGGAGCACTTGAAACCTTCGTTAAGGGGGTGATCGGGGAGCAGATTCGCGAAGGGGGCGAAGTTGTACTACGAGGACACCGGGCACATGAACTAGCAAAGGGGTACGAGAACCACTTGAAGTACAAGACCACCGACAATGAGGACGCATGGGTCATCCTCGGGAAGTCCAAGGACGGAGGCCGCACAACCGGGGAAGGACCAAGACGCCATGATGTGTGTGTTGTCGGGGCTGAAGATAGCCGAGAAGAGAGAGCGCCACGGCTAGACGGAAGCGGTATCACTTTCGACGAAAGCGTCCCTGGCATCCTTCAGTCGTCCCTGAGGAGATTGCACCAGAACCTCGGACACCCTAGGAGCGAGGACCTATGCCGCCACTTGCGACTAGCGGGGTGTGAGCCGCATGTTGTCAAAGCTGTGAAAGGGATGCGGTGTGAGACTTGCGAGGCTACCAAGCACGCGCAGATCGCGCGACCCACTGCTTTGCCCAGGCTACTTGACTTCAACGCCTGTGTCGGCGTCGATATCTTCTACTGCCACGACATCAACGACGTGAGGCACGCCTTTCTTGCCATTGTCGATTATTGGGCCACAACCTATCAGGTCGCGGTGTTGCTTGAAGCCGAGACAGGACCGGATATCGAGCGGGCGTTCAACGACCACTGGCTCGGAGTGTTCGGGCCACCCACTACGGTTTCTCTCGACCTCGACGGCAAGGTGCAGGCAGGCCTCGCGCGCTTGTGCGACTGGCACAGTATCAAGGTGAAGGACGTTGCAGCACAAGCAAAGTGGCAGGGCGGAGTGACTGAGAGACAGATTGGGTGGTTCAAAGGAATCTGGGAACGCGTTGTCCATGAGCTGAGTGTCGGGAGTGAGGAAGCCGCCCTGGCTGCTTCTATGGTGTGCGCAGCAAAGAACGATTTGAGGAGGAGATGTGGACACAGTCCCAGTCAATGGGTGCTCGGCAGATCGCCGCGCGTCCCTGAGGATTTGTGCGATCCCGACTCCGGTGAGACGGCGACCTGGGACCTCACCAAGGACTCCAAGTTTCAGCGGGCCACGGCTATGAGAACGAGCGCGAGGATCGCTTTTCATCAAGCACAAGGAGACGACCGTCTGCGACGAGGCCTACTACACCGAGCGAGGACCACCAAGGCAGTCTACGAGATCGGCGACTCGGTGCACTACTGGAACCAGCCTAAGGACAGACGGAGGCCACATTGGGCAGGACCGGCGGTGGTTGTCGGCAAGCAAGGAGGAAGTTATTGGGTCTCAAGAGGCGGACGTTGCAGGCTGACGGCCCCCGAACACCTCAGGTGCTCTGGACCAGAGGAAGTCGGCGAGTACCTCACCATGAAGAATGTTCAGAGTGAGGTGACCAAGCTGTTGGCCATGGATATCGACGACCCGGACACCTACGCCGAGGAGACCATCAACGAGGACTACAGGGAGTCCATCAAGCGGAAGGGCGATGAAGGTGATCATCTTTCCGACTACGAGTACTCCGACTACGAGGGCGACGAGGTGATCCTTGACCCAGAGGGCGACCACGAGATGCCCGATGAACCCCAGGCTATCGAACATGTTCTCCCGAGTCGACGGATGCGTAAGAAAGGGAAGCCACCAAACCCCGAAGATGCAGATGAAGTCCTACTTACCAACAAGCCACTGACAAAGAGGGGGCACGCAAAACGTCAAGAAAAGGAGCTGAAGTGGGAAGAAATTCCCGACCACGCCAAGAACCTCTTCAAGGAAGCCGAGAAGGTCCAGTGGGAAGAGCATCTTTCCTACGACGCCTTGGAGCCGCTCGACTTGGAGCAGTCCAGCTTGGTCAGACAGACGGTCCCCTCAGACCGTATCCTACCCTGCCGATGGGCGTATCGTGACAAGAACTGGGCCGCCCGGCAGGCTACCACCGCAGCTGGCGAGCAGCCAGCATGGAGATGCAAGAGTAGATTGGTGATCGGGGGCCATCGCGACCCCAAAAAATTATTAAAAGGTTGGTTCTAGGGTTACCCCCCTACCCCCTATATAGGCCCCTATACTGTTTTTAAACTTGTCTATCTCATTCGTTATCGTTTTTGTTGGACACTTATCTAAAATCTTTATGTAGTTTTGGGGTTATCTTTTGAATTATTCTTATTACCTACAACTTATGATGGCTTATTATCATAAGGTTTTGTATAAGTTGTATCTATTACCCTATCCCGATATTTTATACTAGTTTTATGTCATAAGTTTAGGCATAAGTTTCCTTCCTTAGTCGGTTTATGTCGGGGTACTATGTATAATATTCTATATAATATTATGTCTAGGTTTCTGCGGTGGCTTTTGTCTACATTTATAATAATATTTTATATTAATATTATTATGAATGGCTTTAACTTTCATCTTCTTCTTTAAAGATAGTATATAAATATCTCCAGAAGGCATCAAGGTTAAAATAGTTTCTATAAATACCTACTTGTTTTTCAAAATATTGATAGAAAATTATGAGCATAATCATGCTTATTGTTTGTTCATATTGGTTTCTATATTTATAAACACTATTTTTAAAATCATAAGATACTCTAAGATGCTTAATGTCATAGTCTAATAACCAAAATTCTTTATATTTTTCAATCATTTTAATATGTTTTGTTTCATTCAAGAACTTGGTAAATAATGGTTTGAACCTACAGTTTGATTTATCTATTATGTCTTTCAAATAACTCTTTTTATCTTTCAAATTTGTTAGTTTCATGTATCCATTGTCAAAATGATTTAATATACAATGTATTTGTTTGTGCTCTATTGTTTCTAATGGTTTAGTTGAGTATTCCTTCTCATACTCATGCATTTTATGACAAAAGTTACAAGTTGTAAAAGACAAGATATTATTAGTAACATTACCATCAAATAAATTATTTAATATTTCATTTCTTCTGCTCTTGTAGTTGATACAATATTTACACTTAAAATTGAAATTAAATGTCATTTTCCTTACTATTCTAGGGCGATTTTTCTTTAAGTAGTTTTTTACCATTTATTTATTAATTAACAATAATTCATGTTGTAAATAACGTTTAGGTAATCCTTCAAGAACATAATATTTATTAAGTTGCATATCGCGTTCAACACTTTTAACTTTATAAGTTTGTTCGCTCCACCGGCTCCTTGTTTCTTTCCTACTTGTATAATTGCCACCGCTTTTTGTATAGATTTTTACAGTATCGCCTTCACTGATATTAGGATAATTTCTTAAATATTTTTCTTTCAATACTGAGTTAGACTTTACTGTTATGTGGTTATCGTCTTTATGTGCTTCATTAGGAACTAAACCAGTCGTTGAGTGAACCATTTGTTTATTATATTTATCTAAGACAGGTTTTAACATAATTGTCCAAGCTCCTTGTTTATGAACTTGTAATCTATCACTTATCATCTTCTTTAATGTTCTTATCATTCTTTCAGCTACGTTAGCATGTGTTAGTGTGACATTATGTATAATTCCGTTGTCTTTCAAATATGTTTGTAATATTTTATCATTAAGTGCCCCTTCATCATCACTATAAACTGATTGAGGATAACCCATTACCTTAAAACATTCCTTTAAGGCATTTAATACAGTTGGTCCGTCTTTATTTTGCATTGGAACTACATGACATTTTTTACTAAAATTATCAAGACAAACAAAACCATATAATGGATATTCTTTTTTATATGTGTTAGTATCCTTCATTAGACTAATCATATTCATCAAATCAACAGAATAAATTGCACGAGAAAAAGGAGCAGAAAAACTATTATATTGTTTATAACCGCTTCTTTGTTTTACTGATTGATTTTTTTAACCATTCTTTAACTTCTTGTGTGATTACTATACCTGCTTTTATTGCATCATCATATAAACTCTTAGCACTACCGAAGCCTCGCTCAATATCAAAATATAACTCAGATAATTTTGCTTCTTTACTCATCAATTAATATTATTTAGAAATTAAATAATATCAATTCCATAATAAGACTTTGTTTACTATTTTATCCGTTATTTCTTTTTCTAACTTATCTTCATAATTTCTTATACATCTCTTTGTTTTTTGATGCTTTGATTTATTGGTTCCGCTACTTATCATTCTTCCACATTTTTCACACTCATAACATCTGTCATTGCTTTTATAATATTCTTTAAAATATCCTCGTTCTTTATTAAGCTTATTATGCTTATCATTTGATAACTTTTTATTTCGCTTTCTTTTCTCTTCCTTGTTGGTTTCTTCTTCTGGTTCTTCTATTGAGTTCCATAATACATCAAATAAGTCATCATCAATGTCTATTTTCTTTTCGTTGTCCATTACTAAGCATGTCATAACTATCTTATATATTAATGTTAGGTTTTCTTTAAGTATGTTTTTTGAACAATTAAAGGAAAATTAACTACTTATTGACCTAGCGCTCCCTCTGGAACTTCTGCTTCTAATGTATTCTATTGTTTCTTGACTTCTGCGTGAACTAACAACACTAATAGGTGGTGTTGCTTCGCGTTCAGCACGCGAGGACTTCTCCGAAGCGTCATCTACATATTCAATAGTTCTATCACTAGGAATGGAACTTTGCACTGTTTCAACAGGTGAGGAATTAATGTATTCACTTAATGCTTCTTCTTCAACAGGCATTAAAACACTTCTGTTCGAACTTCTTCTAGAACTTGAAGAAGATGATGAAGGCTCATAAGATTTCTTAACATTCATAGGTAAACAATTATCGCTCTCTTCACTTTGTTGTTTTTCTATAGATGGTTCACTTGTTATTCCTTCTTCTTCTATTTGCTCTCTCCTATTTCTCATTTCTTCTCTTTCTTCTTTAAACTCATCTTCTCCAAACATAGCTTCATAAACTCTCCTCATTACTGATTTATTTTGTGTTTTGTCTCTGTCTCGTTCTTGTTCTTTCTCATTACTTTTTATAGTGTCCTCGCTTTCATCGGTTTGTATCTGTTTAACTTCTTCTTCTTCTGGTGTTTTCATACTTTCTGTTATACTTGGTGTTTCATTAAATCTATCTGTTTGTGTTCCTTTATCTGGATTATCATTAAGTATTATTGTCTTTTTATTATATTTATCTAAATCAAAATCATCAAAATTAACATCATTTAATAATATTCCTTGTTGTGTTCTTCTTTCCCTCTCCGGTAATACTTTTAATCTTCGTGTTCTTGCTTCCCTTTCAATTTGTTCAAATGTTGGCTTTAAGCGTAGCATATATTAAACATATATATTTTATACTGGTAAAAATGATTTTGCTAAAGCCGTTGCTCCAGCTTTTGCTAAAGTTTCAATCCCGCTTTTGCTCCAGCTACTGCTATATCTCTTAAAGGTGTTGATGATGTGGATTGTGAAGGCAGTAATTGTCCAACTCCACTTGATGAAGATGATGAACCCGCCGACGGTTCAACAACTTTTGATTTTAGCTGTTGTCGTATTTTTTTAAACTCTTTAATTTTACGGCTCAGTTTTTCACTGTTAAAATCAGCATTCCATTCATTCTCATTTTTATATGCCTCCATAATTGCTACTAAATACCGTTTCCTTTTTTCGTCTGATGGAAATTTTCTTACTAATTCTATAGTTTCTGTAGTTAATAAATCTCTAACATGTAATTGAAACATTAATCCTCTGTAATTTATACTATCATCATTGAATACTTCATCAGGGTCAAAACCATCTGTAAATACTACTTTTTGTTCTAATGCTGTTAGTTCTTCTTCTTCTTCTCCAATACTTTTATTATGGAATACAGTCTTAAATAATTCATCAACTTTTGCCTTTATATCTTCCCTTGGTTTTCCGACTCCTCTTGCTGTATGATCATAAGACAGTTCTGAATACCTTTTTATTTCATCTTCCTGTAACATTTTTTCTTTTTGTGCAATTCTAAACAAAGTTATTAATCCATTTATATTTACTTCTTCAGGTTCAATCTTTGAAAAATCGTGCAAGGGAAGATTTTGTATGTTTTTTCTTGCGTCTTCTCTTGAAAATTCAAACGTTTATAACTCATTTAGTAAATCAAGTCTTCTTTGTTTTTCTTTGTCTTCAGTATTACGCGCTTCTTGTTGTTGTGGTGGTGCCGGTAATGATGGGGGGTATCCTTGATTACTTTTAACTGGAACATCCATTGAATGAACTGGAACACCCGCAGGTAAAACTTGACTATGAACATCAGTTAAATCATTTTTAGCCATTTCACTAATTTCAAAATTTTGTTTTCTAACTTGTTCTCTATATCTTTCAGTATCACCTATCATTGAAGCCCTGATTATATCTAATGCTCGTTTCTCTTCTTCTTGCTTTTGTTGTCTAAAATCTTCAATATTATTTCTAAATTCTTCTAATGCTTTCGTTCTTGGTTCTGGTCTTAACATTAATTCTTCATAAACTTCAGCAGGTGTTTGAAAACCACTTGTATTAATTTCCATTAATCCTGTTGATGTTCCTTGTTGTATTCCAGCGTTGCTTAACTGTGCTTGTCTTAAGTTGTCCTTCGCTCTATCTTCTTCTTGCTTCTTCAATCCTAGAAAATCAATATTATCAAATTGACTACCGAACTGGTTGTTTCTAAATAATGTTGCTTTCCTGTCTATTACTTGTTCTATTGAAGGTCTGTTGGGGTCTCCTTGACTTTCAACCATTCCTATCATTTCATCATAGGTTGGACGTAATTTTAACTCAGATTTTAATGTTTTTATCATTTTTATATTTTATATTAGATTTTAATTTATTTCTGCCATTATACCTTTTAGTTCATTTTGTTTCTTCTCTAGCTCTTCTTTTGTTCTTACTGGCATCATAGGACGCTCTAACTGTCTGTTAATGTCATCTAATTCTCCCTGATATAATGATTTCTTCTGATGTTGTAACCATTCGTTGCGTAGTCTAATATTTTTACCTCTGTTTTCTGCTTCTTCAATTCTTAACTTCATATCTTCAATAGCTTTC